CCCGCTTTGTGCCCGGTCTGGGCTCCATGAGGGCTCCGGGGTGACATCCCTGGGGAGGGGAGGAGGGAAGAAAAAAGGGGGGAGCCTGGCGGGGCAGCCCCGGGGCGCTGGTGCCGGTGGCAGGGAGGCGGGGTGGGCTGAGTTCCTGTCCCTGTTCCCAGCCCCTCCAGGATGAGCAGCGCAGCTCCCCCCGGCCTGGAGGGCAGGGTCAGGAAAACGCTGCGGAAGGTTTTTGGCTTCGAGTCCTTCAAGACTTCCCTGCAGGAGAGTGCGACCATGACTGTGGTGAGAGGTGAGGCCCAGCCTTGGAAAGGTGTGACACACACCTGGTTTTCTGCCTTCCTGGGAAGGTGATGCTGCAGGAGCTGCTATCACACCTGGTTTGAGGAGACGTCACCTGGACTGTGTGGGACCACCTGGCTCTCCAAGCCCTTCTCTGGGCTGAGGTCATTCCTGCAGCCAAGGAGCAGGAGCATGTGCTGCACAGCTCTGAGCACAGCTCTGCCCTGCCTGTTCCCCTTCACGTTTATTTTGTAATCCCATCATGGCATCAACCAGAAAACAGGAAACTTTAACGTGCAGTCTTGCTGGTGTCTCCACTGGCACCTGCCAGCATGTTTATGGTCAGATGAGGTCAAAACTGTGTCCATGTATACATTTTCAGAGTAAACATCTTGTTGTAGGCAATGTTAGAGATGATGCCAGCAGAAGATGTGATTTCCTGGCATAGTTTAGATCTGTCCTCTGAATCATGTGGCTGTTTCCAGAAATATGATTCTCCTGGTGTCCACGTGCCCACCAGCATCCCACTGTTGGCTGGACAGGCAGCTCACATGTATGGCTGCCCACCACCAGCTCCCCTGGCAGATCTCACAGTGGGAATCAGAACAGGGTCAAACCCAGCACTCAGGGGACAGTCACAGTTTTCCTCTCTCTCCAGCAGCTCTGCAGATGGGCTGTTGCCAGCAGAGCAGCCAGGAGCTGTGTTCTATCAGCAGGGTGTCTGCCTAGTAACACTGTTCAGGGGCATCTCCCTGACTGAAGTGGTCACTGCTCAGTAGTGACAGTTTCTGACTGTGGTTGAGATTTCCAACCCTTGTTTCTTATAACTTGCACTTCTGGGATAAACTTTTAAGAGAATGTGGTAAAGATCTGTCATGGGGCTGGGGATTTTGTAACTGGAATTCTGCAAGACAAATGAAAGCTGCTCACCTGAAAGAGAATTAGCATGAAAAACTTGTTTAACTTCTCTTTATCTTGGTTTCTGTGTATCTTCTGGTACTTTTGTAAGGCTGTTTCTAAATGTTTACAAAGCAATCAGAGATTCTTTGAAGGAAACCACTCCAGGCACACAAAGTATTGCTGTGCTTTTAGAACATAACATGAGGTGACATTTCTTGGGATGCCCCCCAAACACACACTTTGTGTCTCCCAGACTACAAGCCTTTCTGCCTGCCTTTCCAGCCAGAGCCCTGGCCACCTCTCAGTAGCCTTGAGCTTTCTTCTGTTGTCTTTTCAGGCGAGAAGGATGTCTTTGTGTGCATGCCCACAGGGGCAGGGAAGTCCTTGTGCTACCAGCTTCCTGCAGTGCTGGCAGTGGGCATCACCATTGTCATTTCACCTCTGATTGCCCTGATTCAGGTAACTGTCTCCTGTTAGATGTGGAAAAGCAGCCAGTGAGGGGGTTGGGAGAGGCTGGAGGAGCAGCTGCCTCTTGTCCTTCTGCCCACGAGTCTTTGCTCTTGCCTTGCCCCTGTATTCCCTTGATGTCTGTTGTGTTTTCCTTACCCTGGTGGTAGGTGAAGAGACTGCAACTTGGCTGCAGAGCAGAGTAACTCTGGTCTGATATTAGGCAGTTCTCTAAAAGGAGGGTTTTCTTCTTTAATAATAACCTGGTGGTTTTTATAACTGAGCCTTGCTCCATTTTCCCCAGTTGTCCTTTACCTCCAGTGTGCTGTACAGAAGCAGCAAAGCAGAGCACCTCAAATAGACCAAACTGGATCTTTCCCCAGAAGAAAACAGCCATTTTACCTGTAGATAGACACCTTCAGGAGTGATGAAGTTGCCTTTAAAGGCCTAATTTGATCTGCATCAAAATGTCTTTCTGTGGCAGTCAGTCTTTCTGTTATGGGGAGAGGCTGGTTTAGCTGAGCTGCTCCTTGAGTCTCTGTGAGACTTCTTTTTTTTCTGTATTTGCCTTTTTCATTGTTTCATCACCTGCTGGGAGAAGCACCTCCCTGGGAGAGCAGCTGTAGCCTTGCTTAGACTTCTGTAAAGCATCTGTTTAGCACTGCATGACATCTGGTGTTGTAGGCTGCTGGTTTGGGTTTTGTGGCATTTTTTTATCTCCCAGACAGTCTCCATGTAACATGCATTAAGAATGAAGAGCAGGCTTGGTGATAAATCTCAGAAAGGTGTTATAAACAGTGAATTTGTTCCAAGTGGGAGGAGTTCTGACAGACAATACTTTATCACTTCAATGGAGGTTAAAAAAATGACCATTGATAAGATTTCCAAGTGAAGCAGAATGTGTCAGTGTGACAAGCAGGTTGAGAGTGGCTCACTGAGCCTTAGGGAACAGAGCTGTTGTGAAGGTGTGAACCTTCAGACATCTCATCAGGGCCTGAGAGGGAGTGGCCATGCCTGAAATGACCGTGATATGTTTCAGTGTAGCTGAACTTGAAGAGCTTAGTCTGTCTAGTTTATTATAGGGAAGGCTGGGAGCTGACTTTGTGAACAGAGAACAGGGGATATTAAATCAATCACTGAAACCAGGTTTTGAGAGAAGTTAGGAGGTACCAGTTTTTCAGGGCTATTCATACCTTCTGAAATGGGATGTGCTAGTCAATGCAAGTGAGTAGCTCAGTGCAGGGTTAGGGGGGTGGATTTGTATGCCCAGGGTTCATCTGGATGGATCTGGATATGATGCCATGTTTTCTTCATGGTTTTCATGGCATGATTTTCATCTAGAGTTGGTTCTGTTCACTGGTGATTTGCATGATCCTTGTATTTCATCCTGTCTCAGCTGTGTTTATAACATCCCTTAGTTATTTTGGAATGAAATGCACTCTGTGACTGCAGGGTGGTGGTGTTCATCTTCCATCTGTGACGAGTTGCTAGTCTTAATTCCTTGGAGGTGTTGGTGGCTGGTTTCAGATCACTGTGGCTATGGTGGGTTATTTTGCACAGATCCCTGCCAGTGTTCCCCAGCAGCAAAAGGGCTGTCTTAAATGGAATGGTCTTAAATTGAATGGATGCATAAAAATGCTGTTAGATGTAAGAGCTGGATAGATATTTTCACAGTTGAACAGAAAGACATCTAGAGTTGAAGTTCTAAATACCTGGACTGTAGGTGTATGTTGTCCTGAGACTCAGCCCTGGAGGTGGAAGTTGGGGCATCACCTGGCTTTGCCTAGTAGTCTTTCTAGGTGATGGTGACTTTCTTTATTTCCATTTGCTTTTCATTTAGTTTTAATCTTGTATTTACCCTAGGATCAAGTGGATCACTTGCTGGCTCTGAAGATCAAAGCCTGCTCTCTGAACTCCAAGCTTTCTGCCCAGGAAAAGAAGACCATCCTGGCTGACTTAGCAAGTGAGAAGCCCAAAGTAAAACTCCTGTACATCACCCCAGAGATGGCAGCTGCCTTTTCCTTCCAACCCACGCTCAACTCCCTGGTGTCCCGAAACCTCCTGTCCTACCTGGTCATCGATGAAGCTCATTGTGTGTCCCAGTGGGGACACGATTTCCGCCCCGACTACCTGCGGCTGGGCAGCCTGCGCGCCCGCATCCCCGGCACACCCTGTGTTGCCCTGACTGCCACTGCCACCAAGCAGGTCCAGGAGGACATTGTGGCAGCACTTAAGCTAAAGCAGCCACTCTCCACATTTAAGACTCCGTGCTTCAGATCTAACTTGTTCTATGATGTGCAGTTCAAAGAGCTCCTGACTGATGCATATGCCAACCTGAAGGACTTCTGTCTGAAGGCACTTCAAGTGAAGGACACCACTGGGGTAGGTTTTACATTTGGGGAAGGAGGATCAACTGAACAGAAGCTACCTTAATGGTCACTGACCTTCCAGTGCTTGGTATGGCCCTCACAGGTCTGTGGGAGGGAAGGAGGAGGTCCCTGGAAGGCAAGTGATCTTCTATGTTTTGCAGTTCCTCTAAAATAGTGAAGGCTGCAAGACTTCCAGAGTTGTCCTCAGAGAGTTATTAGTCTGAAAGAAAATGGATTAGGAATATGCAACCAGCATTTAGCTTGTCATGTCCCAGGTGATGATTATATGATTGATGGTGTTCTGCCCTTCTACTGTGGCAAGGGTGAACAGGAGCATTTGAAGTGTTGTATTGAATTTCCTGCTCTAACACTAATTCCCCAGATAAATTTTAGCGACTCAGTTGTAGCCTCTGCACTTGAGTTTTATTTGAGAGAGAATGCTTTTTGCCTTGTGCCCACTGGTGGAGGATTGGGGAACCATTTTTGGTCGATGTTGGGTGTTGTAGGACTTGTAAGGAAACTCTCTTTATGTCTGATTTCCTCCTGTGCTGCAGCAGTATCTTTCATTAGCTGGAGAAATCAGCTTGTAGAAGAGATGAGCTTTAGGCACCCCTCCTGTCTCCACTGTCCTGATGACTGCAGCTTTGTTGATTGTCTTCAGACAGTGTCATGGACTTCTCTCCTATCTGCCCAGGTGTACTCTGGTTGTGGCATCGTGTACTGCAGGACGAGGGACGTGTGTGACCAGTTGGCTATTGAGCTGAGCTACCGAGGAGTGAAAGCCAAGGCCTATCATGCAGGTATTGGAGGCTGTACCTCTCAGTAGCTGGTAGAACTGAACTGTCCCACCTTTAGAGCTTGCTTGGGGCTACCAGCTTTCTAGGCATGGTCTGTGATGTGTCTGATGCTCATGCCTCAGGTCTGGGAGGTAAGTGTGGGGCCTTCAGCATTCCCTTCACTCCAGGACTGTTGGTCTTGCTGGATCTTGCATGGCCTAAATATAACCACTGCTTTTATCCCAGGAGGGATCTGAATTTTTCTCTTTGGAATAGAAACAGCTGCTGCTGACTTCTGCTTGGTCACACGCCAGTTTAAACATGGGCAGAGAAGAGTGTGTACCCAGTCAGTTTTACTGGTGGGGGGAGTGGAGGAGGAAGAAAATTCTAATTTCTTTTTTGTTCTTTTTCTTTTTTTTTTTTCTTCTTTTTTTTTTTTGTTGTGGTTTCTTTTCTTCTTTTTCCTTTCCCAGGACTCAAGGCAGCTGAGAGGACTTCAGTCCAGAATGAATGGATGGAGGAGAAGATCCCTGTTATTGTTGCAACCATCAGTTTTGGAATGGGAGTAGACAAAGCAAATGTCAGGTGTGTGAGGCTGAGTGTTGTGCACAACCAGAGCCTGAAATCTGAGCAGTGGGAAGGGAAAGCCTAAGTCTTTCTGTTACCTGATAAATCTGATCACATGCCAGATGAGCACTTGCTAAAACCCACAAAACCAGAGCTGGAGGGTTGTTTTAATCTTAGAAGCAGCAAAAACAAACCTGGAAGGGTTTTGTAAAGAAATGAAAAACAAGGCACCAGAGCTCCTCTTTTGTTAGTCATCTTCAAAACCAAAAAAGTTGGAGGAATGCTTGGTTTTTTTGCCACACCCTCCAGGGTTTCACAAAAAGCCATCTTGATGCAATCACAGCTGTCTCTTTCATTTCTCCTAGTGCAATAATTGCTGTTAAAAAGCAGTGGGAAGAAAAACTGCACCTAAAATAATTCATATACCCTCTACTAAAAATAGTCAGAGCCAGTTGTTTTTTTTAGAGATCCCCTTTTTCAGTGCAGTGGGGAAAAATAGCAGTTCACAAATGGCAATAATCATGCAAAAAAAATACAGCTTCAGTCCAAGGAAAGAAATTTTGCACGTGTTTTCAACTGCTGTTCCTCTGGGACTTCTAACAGTCGCCATAATTGCACCATGTTATTAGAATTCCTGCACTGCTGTGTAGCTGTGCTGAGGTAGAACTGTGAGCTGCTTGGTAGAGGGGTAACTCAGGTGCAGATCAGACAACACCCATCACAGACCTAATGTTTACTCCAAAAATCACAGAATCATAGAATGGTTAAGGTTGGAAGGGACCTTAAAGATAACCAGGTTCCAACCTTCCTGCTAAAATCCACATAAAGCTATTGCTCTGAACACTGTGGGAGAGGGGCAGGACATCACTGAGGCAATCCCATCAATCCACAACAGTGCCATCCTTCTGGCTGTACCATGGTGCTGACAGGTAGCAGGATCCCATAGCAATGACTGACTGATTTACTGCGTGATGTGTGTTACCCAGCAGACAACTGAGAAGTCTCCTTGGATAGCAGCATGAACTAATGACCTGCTAAAACCACTCTGTTCAGTACAGTGGTCATTAAGAAAAGCAAGAGTCACTGAAATGCATAGGGCTGATTGAGAGGGAAATGCACCTGAAATTATGCTTGTAATACGGTTACTTTCCAAGGAATGGAGTTAGAGTGACTCTTTACAGGATCTTTGTTAATAGTTTAAAGGCTGTTATACCTAAGCCCAGGCAGTAGTGAACTGCTGCTTAGCTTTCACTATGTTGGCAGAGTTCTGGATATTAATGCATATTTTATCAACTAAGATCAGGTCTAACAAGTTCTGGAGGTGACTTTTCTGGACAAAAGGGAAAACAGGTGGTGTGTCTTTTTCTGATGGAACCTGCTCCTCTCTTCACTGCTCAGTTTTGTTTGTGATTATTTATCAATTTCTTCAGTAAACTTCCTGATGGGGATTAAACATGTCAGGTTCTGATACTTCCTGCCTGGCCTGTTCCTGTTTGTGTTTGGAGAAACATGTTTGCTTGGTTTTTTGTAATTTACTCTCAGCCACACCCATATGCATCATACCTGCCTCTGGGACATGCAGGTTTTGAGGCAGACTGGTTGAAATGTTGGCAGTGTTACTGTATTGTAAAATCCTCTCAACACAGGTATAAGCTGTATTGCTGAATACTCAGGTACAAGCAGGTTTAAAGCAGTCTTGCAGTGGTGTGTTGAAAACCTTCCTTCAGAGATTACATACCATTTAGTAGTGATTCATGGTCATGTTTGCTGGCCAGGAAGATTGCCTTCATCTGCAAGTGAGCTTGGTGAGGCAGAATTTCCCATGCTGACTTTCTTGGCAAAGAAGTGTCTTTTTAAAATTGAGTATTTCAAATTCTGTTCTGTCACATTCAACTTGTGTTCCACAAAATAAATAGGACCTTTCTTTATTTGATGGTAAAATCTCCCAAACTCCTTCAATCAGTGTCATTATTCTCACTCTTGGGATATTCATGTGCTCATTCTTTTCCATCCATTTGGAGTGACATCCTGCTCACATGTTGTTCAGGTGCATTTGTTTTCTCACAGCTCTGCTGCTTTCCTTGTTGTCTTGTGTGTAAAGAGGACTTACAGTTCTGTGTGCTTAATCACTGTGCCTTGCTCTGCTAAATCCTGTCTTCTGTGCTTTCGTTCTCCTGTTTTTTACTGCTGTTGATGTCCACAAACAACCCAATCATGTGTACAGTGATCTGAGAACCCTGTAGCCTTGTGTTTGATGTTGTTTTACCTCCCCCATGCAGATTTGTTGCTCACTGGAACATTGCTAAGTCAATGGCTGGATATTACCAAGAATCTGGGAGAGCTGGGAGGGATGGGAAGCCATCCTGCTGCCGCCTCTATTACTCAAGGAATGACCGGGATCAAGTCAGCTTCCTGATCAAGAAGGAGCTCTCTAACATCCAAGTAAGAGCTGCACAATAGTATCCACCTGCCTTTGCCCTGATCCGGTGTTTGCTTCTTGCCTGCACTGACCTCTGAATATGTAAAGATGAAAGGAGTTTTTCTGGGTCTAGAGCTGCATGTAGCCCCATTTCAAGGGACAGCAGGAAGGGAAAGGGCTGCCAGACCCAATCCCAGTCCTATCACAGAGACATGGGAGAGCAGAAGTATGGAGCAGGCACAGGGTGGTGTCTGCATCTCTTTGCCATATTGATCAGAAGGGTTGGATTTGGTCATCACTAGAGTTTCTTTAGCTGTTTATATTGAAATCCCTTTATTAGTTATTGTCCCTGTCTACTTTCAGGAAAAAAAAGGCACCTTAAAGGAATCTGACAAGGCTGTGATGACAGCTTTTGATGCCATTGTGAACTTCTGCGAGGAGCTGGGGTGAGTGTGCTACTTTCAAACTCTGTTTAATGTTGGAGAAACCATGTCCTGTCCCTTCCCAGGCCCTGTAATCGCTGAGATCTTGCATGTCAAGGAGAAAAAAAATATACTGAATTAATCTGGTACTTTGCTGTCTGAGCTGAAGCTGGTGTCCCTGAGACGTGTCTCGCTCACTCCCACCTTGGAGTTAATGGAGATGTTGGCTGTGAATGTTCTACCTTTGATGATGGGTTGACTTAGTTGCATTTGCTTTTGTTTGGACTTTTTCCTCCTTCTCTACCTCACTTCTCTTCTGAGAGAAACAGCCTAATGGGCACAGGCTGGAAGCATTTAGATTTCATGTTTCTCTCAATCTCAGGGGCTGCACTCTCTAAAGTACAAGGTATCTGTGATTTCATTGACCTTAGAAGGAGCTCATGGTGCTTAGAATGCTTCAGAAACAGGCTCAAATTATGGACATGCCCAATCTAAATGCAGACTAGCAACCACAACATGCATTGTTCAGGTTTAGTTCATGACTTGTGAGCTGTAATTGTACTAATTGCTATTCTATGCCGGATAAGACATCAAAGCTAGAATTTTGTCAGTAAGGGAGCAGTATGTGTTCACTAACTGAAAATGGTCAACATGCTTCTTGCTTTCAAGTCTGCATTTTGTTTCATTTTTTGCACTTGTGTTTAGGGCAACTTCTTCGGTGTGACTGTAACTTGTGCTTCTTTCCTGATGCCTGGGTGAACATGCTCTCTCCCTGTGGTCATGTTTGGTAAACAAATCCTAGTTTTATGAGGTCATTCTGGGAGACTCTTGCTTGTACTAAAGTATGGCACAACACTTAATAGTCCCAAGGCACTTGAAGGAGCATTTCTTTGCCCAAAGTCAAGGTGATTCTGGGAAGTAGCTAGGAGGCTCCTTGCTATAAGAGCTGGATCCACTCACTTGGCTAAGAACCTCTGATCCTTCTGGTGTGTGTTACTAGCTCGCAGTGAGTGGCCAGCTGGCTGTTTGTGTCTGGGTTTTGTATAATCTGAGAGGCAGCTCTGTCTCTCTGGTTAGATGCTAATGCCAGGAAACCTTGCCTTCATATGTTTCTTCTTGATGTCTGAGCTGGTTACCTATAGAGTTAGTTGTGACAGTCATTTCTAGGAATGGACACTAGTGCTATAAGAACTGGAATGGGATCACTGAACTAACCTTACAGTTAGCCAGAAGCAGTCACAGGATGTTCCAGGGTAGTGCTCCAGTGAGGACATGAATTAAACTCCATGTAACCATCTCACAGCATCTTCCACTTCACACATGCTGTGAAGAGCCCAAGTGCTCTCTGGTGTGAGGCCCTTCTTGAGAGCTGCTCTGCAGCAGTGAGGACTGAGCAAGGACAGAGAGAAAAGATTCCTTCTTGCTCTGATGAATAGCAATGGAATAGGATTTCACTGGGTACGTAAGAGAGATTTCTGCAAGGGAATATCACTGACCTAATTAGAAATCCTGTCTCCTTTACTCTTTCTTCCCTTCCCCAGCGTGGTATGTTCTTCCTGCTGTATAACATCCCAGAGTCAGATCTTGCAGCACCACTGCCTGACTTCCCTGCTCAGAACTGTACAGGAGACCCAGATGCCATGTTGCATTTCTTTTTTAGATTTTGAATTAATACAGTTCTATTCACTATCCAAACAGTGAAAGCAAACTGACCTTGCAAGATTGTAAAAAAGAACAAATAAAGACAGACTTACATACTGGCAAGCAAGTTTTTGCATAGTATATTTAGGCCATTGTCTGAGTATGACAGGAGAATAGTGGTATGAGCTGCTTTTAGAGAGTGGGCTTAGACAAAGCTTCTGCTGGTCAGAGTTTCCTGTTGCCCATTTGCAAGATGGAACAAAGCCCATGTAACTGCAGCAGTGGAAGACATCTTTATCAGTTCTAGGTGGTGGTTGACCATTTGCCACCTCTAAGTGGTGGTTTTGCTTGAAAGATGAAAATCAGGCATGAGTTGACTTTGGTATTTGGCTAGTCATGTAGGTCCTGAATGCAGGCAGCCTGGAGTTTGCTGTGGGCTGGCAGAACAACTTGCTGGCATTGGTGCCTTGCTGTTGATGTAGCAAAGTTGCATGGGGAGAAATAACCACCCAAGGAGTGAAGGTGAGAAGACTGTTGATGAACAACACAATCTGGCCTGATTCTTGCTTAGCTGCAGGGCCTCAGTCCTGCATCTCAGCTTCACTGTTTATACCCCACTCCCTTTGTGCCTTGGGGATGAGCAGCACCCAAAGATGGCAGCAAATAAGAGCAGAGCTACAAAAACAAGACAGAAGGTGCTGATCACCACTAGTCCTCCAAGAGCCCAGTCATTTGATACAATCAGTCTCCTTAGGCCTTCCAGAACTGAGGATGCCTCTTGTACTGATGACATGCTGGCTTCCACCCTGCTGGAGGTAGACAAGAGCAATTTCAGATGTTGGTTTTACCCTCTCTATGCTCTGAGCCAAAGTCCCCAAACCATTCTAAGCATTCATGCTGGCTGTGCCTGCAGGCATCCCTCTTCCTAAAGGGAGAATCACCCTTCACTGAAATGGTGAAACCAGAAGAAAGGTAGCTGAGGCCTGTTGCACAATCACATCTACAAAGAAGCAAAGAGGAAAGCTTCTGGCTTTACAAGATTTTGGCAATTGAGATTTATTTTAATCATAGTTTACCAATATTATTAAAAATATAATATTGTGCTTCTCCCATCATGTTCAACTGTACAATCTGTACAAGAAATACAAGTGTTCACTGGGAGAACTTGCTTGATACCATTGGAAAGATCTCTAAAAAGGAGTTAAATTCTGAAAACTCATTGGAGATTAAATGAACACAAACAAACAAAAAACCCCATCAATAATAAACAAAGGTCTGAATGTACAATTGTTGCTCTTATAGGGCTTAGAATAGTCTAGCCATGTAGAAAAGGTCTCCTGCAGACAGTTTACTTTAGTAACACTTTCTGTTACTCTGCAATGGAAGCAGAAGTTTTCCTCCCATTAAGTACTTGGGTCCAGCAATAATTTAAACTGGGATCTCAGTGGGTTCTACACACTTGCTCTTTTACTGGTACTTTGCATAATGACTTGGCTATCAGCTTTCTAAAGAACATCCAGCATCTCTTTTCAAGCATCTTGTGGTTTTATTAAAGCTTCCTTGCTTCTCAAGGGAAATGATGGATTATTTTTCAGTTTCTTTCAAATATGACTGCACAGGCATAATGCAGGAAGACATCTCTGTTATTTTTTAATATTTCTTTGACTTGCTACCTCTTATATCTGTATCCTCAATATCATAAGGAAAAGGATTAATCATATAAAGCATGTTTCATCCACAGCAAGTCACATCTGACTAGGAGCACAAGCTCACACCACAGTTTGCTAAAGTTTTTGGTTCTTTCTCAGCAGCCAAATACATATAGTTCATGCTTTGTTTTCTAGAATAGTGGCAGATCACCATGCCTAGTCTCTAACCAAGAGGCATACAGGATATGAAAGCTGTTCTGGATAGCTTCTTTTGCCTTTAAAAAGAAGGCAGCCTAGATACTAGTTCTGTAGACTCAAAGGCAGGAACCCTGTGTGGCTGTACATCCTACAAAGTTCCCATCCCTTTTGCTAACCACAGTTAATCTCCTGAAACAGGAGAGCTGTATGTGAATTTATAAATACCTGTTGTGTTTGCAGTAGGTGTTTCTTCTGGTACCTTCTCTGCACCCACTCTGCCTGTGGTGAGGGACCCCCTTATTGCACCTGGAGACTTGCAGAGGTAGCATGGAAGCTGCCTGTTTGCACTGCAGTGAATTATTAACAACTGACTTTCCTGCAAAGGTGTGGCTAATCTAATCAAAGACTAATTAAAAAGACCTAGTTCAGTCGTTGCTCAGACATTCCTTAATCTGCATGGCTTTATATCTTTGTGCACCTGTTCCAGTGCCCACTATGTCCCCTGACTGGGGAAGGCTGCAGGTTGTGGTGGGAAGGAGAGGGCTTTGTTTCCTGGATCTGCATTGTAAGCTCTGTTAGGAGACTGTCATGTCTGAAATCACTCTGAACAAGACTGCCCTCCAGTCTGAACTTCACTGTAACAGTCTAGGTAGATACTTGCACTGCTGTTAGCTGCAATACAACTGCCTGCCTGTTGCTTTCCTTCCTGAAGAAGACCAGAGGGATGGTGCTGGAGAGAGGTGGGAGGGGAGAACAAAGAGATTGTGGTGTGTGAGGCTGAGTGTGTGTAAAAGGAAACTTGTTTTTCACAAGCCAAGCAAATCACTTTGAAACGAGAGGGAAGATGTTACAGAATAAAAGCTATTCCATTAAGTTGTCAGTAGAACTTCAACCACTTCTGCTGGAGGGGCTGGTCTCGCTGTCTCTGTTAGGTTCCCCAGGGAAATAAACTATTTCAACAAATGGATCATCAGAACTGAAGGAAATGTATTCCCTTTCAGTTCCATCTAGGCTCACTCAGTCTTTCACAACATGTACACAAATTGCAGAACACTAGGCCTGTGAGGTCCAGGCAAGTATGTAGAAATCAATCCAGGGACCCCTTCTCTATGTGGTGACTGCTCCTCTGCTCCAGAAAGCCACCTGAATTCTTCAGGGAATTGCTTAATTTTTTAAAATTTTTTTCTTTCTTTTTTTTTTTTTTTTTTTTTTTTTTAACAGTGCTGTGTTCACCTTCTGCTTCTAGTTCCAGAACTTAAAGTGACAGAGATAAGACAGGAACCATTTCTCTTGTCCCTCTGCCTGGTATTTGTCAGTGGTTTAACTTGTAACACCAGTGGGAAACATGTATTTGTAGCTTTTCCTGTTGAGATAAGGCCTGGCAGCTTGATCCTAGTGACAGTAACATGTCAGTCACTGGTATGTTTCCAGCCTGCTGTGCTTCCCCCTGATTGTCAGCACAGGCTGCTTCCATGCTGCTGGAACACTTCTCAATGGCATTCTGTTAATTCCTGTAGCTGGCACCAGCTAGCACAG